AGCGCTGCTGCTGTGTTTTTACATGGGTGGTTGTGAAAATTAAGAATCGGCGCGTGCAACACTTGGCACGTGCAGTTGGGTTGTCTGAGTCGACGTTCGGTACGTGCAGTTGGGTGGTTGTCAAGTTTCCTGACGTTTTCTTTGTGCAGCTTGCTGAAGACAATCTTCCGAACCACAGTGCAGGCACGTTTTACACGAGAAAACGGGCTTGTGCGACGATACAATTTTAGCATTGTTTGCACCATAAGTTTCAAAACCTCCAGTCCCGCCCTCTTACACTGCGACAAACATTGAAATGAAGGGAGGAAGGTTTTTGAACATGGCAACACGAGGACTGTCAATGATTGCCTGCGGCTGCAGTAAAATCCTCGCAGTGCGCGCATTTCGGGCATTCTAAAAGCCAGCCACGTTTTTGGAGCAACAGGAGGGATTTGCTTCCGAAGATTTGGAGTAGCACAAAGACATCATCGAGTGGAATTTTGCTGCCTTTCTTCTCGCACTCTACAGCAGTTGTTGTCCGAAGATGCTGCAAGGGATCCTAACCACTACAAAAAGTTCGCACTTCTTCTGATTTGCACAGATAAGTTTCAGAAAGCTAGCTGCGCTCTTTGGAGCCGTTTCCCCAGACCAGCACTCCGCAACGCAAGCACAAACTGTTTCGCTTTTAAGGTGCATCTAACACCGGTTGAGCGATAGATCGTGCGCGACGATGCAAAGGTGTGGTCACAAGCTTCGGTTGCGTGAAAGAAAGCAAAGTTTTTGCTTCGTTCGTGTTTGTCTCTTGCAAAAGCTTTTCGTTCAGTTCGAGCTGCCTGTCTTTGCTTTTGCCACACCCCTATGTGGCCCCGAGGTTGAATTGGATGTGAGCGCTCGGAAAGCCACGGGACGCTGTCTGGTTAAAAACCACCACAGAAAAGCTCAAACCTTGAAGCTTCTACAGGGGCTGTTCCAGCCAGACTGTTTCCAGGCCGGGGTGTTTCCAGGCCGGGGCTGTTTCCAGCAAGGGACTCTTTCCTGTGCAGGGTTTTTTCCTGCCAAGGGCTGGGGCCTTTTCCACCGCCAGGCCGTTTCCAACCCAAGGCCGCTGCCAGCCAAGGGCGGTTTCCAGCCAAGGGTCGTTTCCAGGCCTGGGCTCTTCACCCAGCTGAGGCTCGAGCTTCTTCTGTTTTCTTGCAAGTTTGTAGAGTTTTGTTCATTGTTTGTCCGCGAAAATTGGACAGCGAAATGCAAGACTGGATGAAAGTCTACTCTGCTTCGATCGATGTTTGTAGATAAAAGCACGAAGGTGAAGTGTTCTAACACAAATGCAAGTTTGTAGTGTATTCCACAGAAGAAGAGCAGTTCGATGTTTAATTGCAAATTTCGAAAGTTAGAGAAAGCTTTTTACAAATTGATTTTATTAGGGCAGTTTGGCTTTTGCGAAAAATCTTCAAATCTGGAATCACGAGTTGGAAGTACTGGTTGTGCCAAGATACAATGTGCAAGATCTGAAGAAGATAGAAAAGCGGCTTGAAGCTGCAAATGAACCTGTACTGACCGTTACATGGTGTGTTTGACACGTACAAATTCGGCCAAAAAGACATGCAGCGCGAAACGTGGTGATCTATCATGCGATTAAGCGCCATTTTGGCCGCAACGTTGATTTGCACGGGAGGAAGCAGCCAAGAGATTCGGCTTACCGGAATCTCAGTTTGCAGCATGGTAACACATCCACCGACGGCAGAGTACGCTCGCACAGCAGTTGAGTTGCCGTTCTTGCTGTTGTTGCTTTGTTGCGACGCAATACTGTTTTGCACGAAAACGTTGGGTGAGGAGGGGTTCAGATCGCTTTCGTTGTCAGGTCCTTTCCATCTTCGATGACCGCCTGTCAACGTTGCAGCAGCGTAGCTGTGCAGGTTCAAAATGACGTCTTCAGCCTTTATGGTGTGCATGGAAAGGTCAATCAGTGCCGGCGGCCGGCTAGAATGTGCACAGATGCGTTTCGTTTGTGCTACCAGACATGCAACTTTGAAGTTCGTGCCAGTTATCATTGAGTTGCATGCCATGGTTAGCATGTTCGGTGTTGGTGCAGACGATTGCTGTTGTTGACACTTCGCGCTTGCCGCTTATCGAGGCAATGCCCAGTTTGCCAGACGCTGTCGTCCGATTTTGTTTGGCATAGAACCAGTTGTTGGGAAGGCAGCGCAGTGGGCGTTGCAAGCAGGTGAACGGAGCAGCAATTATTGTGTCTTGGAAAGGTTTGGATGAGAAGGTGCATACTACGTCGAGGGGTGGTTTCAAGCACCACTGTTTGATTGACGGGCCGACGGTTTTGCGAGCAGCGCGAACTTGACGAAGTTGGTATGTCATGTTGTCAGGTGATTCCTTCAGCTGCGCTGTGGCGAAGCGTTTCCAGGCCATGCCAAGCGGCCTCGTGGCCTTGTGGGCTTAATAGTTTCCGTCCTGGTTCAGTGTTTTTTAACTTGTTTTTGTATTGTTTTCTCGACCTAAGCTTGTCAAGCCAGCGACGGCCATTCTGCAGGATTGTGCTCAACCATGGGCAGCTGTGGAGGCGAAATTTCGCTGCCGAAAGCAAATCGTAGGTTTCAGGTTTTTTGTCGAGAAGCACGGGGCGTCCAGGGCCGTTTTGGTAAGCATAGCCGCAGATCAGACGCGACAGTCCGTTCAGGCTAAAGGGTTGTGGCACGCAATGCTGTGGCCTTCTTACATTGTCTTGTGCCTCGAGGCGTGGCGCTATGCCGTAGCAAACCTGTTGGCAGCGAGGAAGTTCACAGGAGGTGCGCATGCAGTTCGTTGTTGTGAAGTTGCCAAGCGATATGCGGAACTTCAAGTGAACGTCTGCGTGGCTGTTATTTTACCTCCGTATGTTAATGCTGTGGCTTACTCCGGCCAGGCCAACACTTCGAGCTCGCAGAAAGGCCAGCGTACGAGTCAGTTTCAAGATGGAATGTGCTGTGAAGTGTTGCAGGACGGCAGCTGCCGTCGGCAGATTTTTCGCGACGCCCGATGCTGGCAAGTTTACCGAGGTGCACTTGCCTCTATCAGATGGGTTGCTCGAACGTGGTACGAGGGAGCGTGGCCTCACGCACCTGAGGTGTAGACTAAAAGTGAGACATGCTCAGCATTGCACGATTGAGTCGTCGATATCTTGCAACTTACTTATGCAGTTATGCTTGAAGACCAATACCGATGATCTTGTTCATAACCTCCTGCATTCATACGTTCAACGGACTCTGTTCACCAAAGTAACACATGCCTGAGTTTGAGGATTTTCGGCCGGGCCTCTTTTGAGAGGCCTTGGCAAGGCTTTGGAAGGCTTGCCACGCCCTGGAAGTTTTGTGCGAGCCCGGCCAGTTTCCATTGTCTACTATCCAAAGCAAGATATTCAGCCCCTCAGTTCTTCAAGTTGGGAAGTTGTGGCATGTGGTTAGCGCGGAAGCTTTACTTCCACATTTTCGGGTACGGAAGATTTACATTAGAAAGAGTTATCATCTGTTACCACCTGTCATTTACCACTAATCTTGACCTATATTTCCAGTTCATTCCTAATGACATTTCCTAGTTGACATTGTGTGATTCCCGATACCTTGAAATTAATGGTTCACCGATCGTACCTGTTTTCTCCTTTCCAAATCCTCACACTCGCTCCCTTATTCCCCTTTCTTTTCATTTGTCCTTTGTGGTTACT